CGTTAACTTCTGTGCTTTGAGTTTCCTCATATTTTGCCTTTCTCTCTGTGTCCACCAGGAATGTGTTGCCAGACTTTGGCAGTGAGGTGATGGCAGAAGCACTGGCACAGCGGGCTCTGGTGAAGCCTGTTTACACCATCCCCATCATTCCCCTGTCCAGCAGTAACCAGTACAGACATCAGGACCACTTGGACATGAAGGACTACAAGAAAGTAAGGACATGTTCATCAGGAATCGTACAAAAACCCCCCCCCCACATTTCCCTCCTTTCAGCTTTGTCTGTGTGTGTGTGTTGAAACAGAATGGCGAGCAAACTACGGGAAATTGTATTGACTTTGAATTCGTCCTTTAGTTGAGTCGATTCACTCAAGCTGCTTAATGCTGTACTCTGTATTGGCACACTGAGTCATACCAGACCTTGGCATTTTCATTCTGAAAGGGTGCATGGTTCGAAATGACAACTAGGTCTAAATTATTAAAAATAATTTCCCTTATGCACAAGAAACTGCAATTTTGTACTTAAGTTTATTATAGTATAACAGTTTTTAACAACACACAGGAGCAAATGTTGGACAGTGTTTTACCACAATAAATATCCTGTTTATCCGTTAAATGTAATGATATAAAGCTTTGTTTACATATTATAGCACTTAATTACTTTGCACAGTTGTGACCTCAGTGTCATCGTAACTTCATTAGCTCCAGTGTCCACCAGCTCTCCCCTTGCCCTGCAATGAGACACCCATTTCCCCTTCTTTTATCTTCTGCCTCCTCCTCTTCCCCTTTACCAGCTGGCTGACCTTTTGCTTTTATTTACACACGTTCATTTTCAGTTTAACTCTACCCCTCCTCCCTCATCACTCCAACCCTTATTTTTTTCATTGATTAGGCACAGCCGTTCTTCACTGTAGCCTCCCTGCCTCTCTGTTTGCTTTGTCCCCAGAGTGTAAGGACTGAATGAAATCCTACTAATCCTAGCAGAAGTTGGACCGTGTTCAGACAGGGAGGGGTTGTCCCACTGGGGAAGTTTGGGGGTGAAAGGTGGCACGGGGTAGATTTAGGAGGGAGGGGGAGGACAGCCATCTGGCTAGGCAGCGGCATCTGGCACGTGCCGCCATCTGCATATCAATGCCTCTCTTTACTTGCTGTTGTTTCTGCACACACTCTAGGCGCCTGTGCATAGACCACCAACACTCAATTGCCGCCAGCAGTATTGTGTCGCGTATGAAAAAGCGTTCTTGATTACACAGACTGCAGTATAAACATGTTTTCATTTCCTTTCCTTCTTCACAGCCTGAGAAGACGGAGGCAGTTCGAACCAAAAGGAAATATGAAAAGAAACCCAAAATCCTGCCTATGTCAGCGCCTCAACATTCAGGGCCCTCTGTGTTCAATCCCAAGGACCTTAACCAGTATGATTTCCCCAGCTCAGATGAAGAACCATTCTCACAGGTAACATTTGGTTCCAGCCCTTCTGTTGTGATGCAATTTCAGTGGGATTTTTACAGAGACTAATATTACACATGAACAAACATGGAACAGAAGCTGAAAGCAGTGTGACCTAGCTGATATTGTGTGTTCCATCTGTAAAAACCATGTTTGGCTAGTAATACATTTCTTATTTTCCCTTTAGGAGGGCATGAATTGAAGTCCCTAGCTTTTCCTTTACTTACATTTTTTTGTGTCATGTAGATCCATTCAGGTTCCTCAGAGGCAGAAGAAGAGAATGACCCAGATGGCTGCTATGCGTTCAGGAGGAAGGCCGGCTGTCAGTACTACGCTGTGAGTGCCCTCCTGTGACTCCTGTGCTTCTATTTATAGTGCCAACAGCAGGCTGGCCAGTCTGGCTGCTCTCTCTTCCACACGCTACTGGACAGAACAATGCAATAATGAAATCACCTGTTTTATTTTCAACTTCTGTTTGTTCTCAGATCTAATCGTTTTTTCCCCTTTATCTTCCCTCAGTGTCGTCCAGACCAGAGTGGCAGCTGGCCCTGGGTAAGCCCGTCAGATGGTGGGCTCGGCGACCCACGCTTCCGCTACTGTCTGACCTCGCTGAACATCCCAAGGCGCTGCATAGGTTTGTCAAGGCGCCGTGTGGGCAGAGGCGGCAGGTGAGTTCAGTCTGGCTGTTTGTTACAGAGCCTTTGAGGGTCATGCATGCGCAGATCATTTGGGTAAATCAACCCGCCCCAACCCACTCTAACAAAAAAGAAAAAACAGTGTTATTTCTTTAATTATTCTTACAAAGCACTTCATCCCTTGTTGCTGACATGAAGAACAATAAGGGTGACACGAAGGTATTACAATTCATGGTTTTCATGATGTACCAACTTCCCCAAATTCTGGAGAAATTAAATATGAAATGTGTTTAGGAATGTTGCCAGTATCAAATGGAGCAGAGGAAATTGAGCCAAGTGTTAGCTGTCACTGCCAAGGTTGTTTACCATTCCAACTCTTTGGCAGGTTACCAGCGACCGTTTGGCAGGCACATTTTATTATAAATATCAAGCTGGCAGGTGAAATGAACATGACAGTCCCATTTTAGGATTTACCTGTCACTGTAGCATGTGTTTAGTTTAAAAAACAAAACTTAAATGTGCCCTGAAGCCTATTCTGATATCTCCTCAGTATTCACACAGACAGTTAAATACACTGAGCTCGGTAGCAGCTTCCTCAGTGCCAGGTGTGAAAGAGACCAAACGAGGGTCACACAGTATCTGCTCCCCGGGCACACATGAGATAAGCAATGTTCTGTTAGTGTCTGCAGTGACCTTATCAACTTCCCCAAGGGAGATTGAAGGATTCCTCTAGCTCTGAATGGAAACATCTTTTCAATATAATGTACTATGGTAATACTCGATCGTGTTAGGAAACATGGAAAGTGGGTTAAGAATAGAGTGGCTGTGGGGTTTGTAATGTCAGTGACGGTTCAGTTGTTTGCCTTTCTTGTTTTGTTTAACAGGATGTCTGTAGGTTGATAAAGTTTTGTGTTTTTTTTTTTAAGATGATATTTTGTAACAAACACTCTTTAAAGGTGTTAAATTGTTTTAAAGTTGGAATGGTCTCAAATCTTTTCATTCACTTTTTAAAAATACATTAAAAACACAAAGAACTGATTTGATTATGTTCAGTTTTAATGTGTATTTTAACTGCAAGTTGGTCTTAAACTTCAAATAAAGTGTTATTTAAAAAAAACTCTTAACTAAAACCTTTAAGTCATGCGAATAAATTGTAGTAGTGTGCTTCAGTGCATTATGTTTTGGGTTGTTTTCTGACATTTCAAGCACAATTTTAAATATTATAACATCTTAAAATGTCTCTGTATATTTTTTTTTTTTACTAGGGCTAGAACATGGCCTTGCACAGTTTGAGTGATAAGGCTGTAGACTTCTAACAGTTGTCTCCGTTTTTGCTAAATTTTACCCAGCTGAACCTATGAAGTAATAAGCTACACTTATGTCATTACAAAAGTATTCTGTTTTTCTCATGAATGAGGTGCTCTCCAGTGAACATTTTTATTATTTCAATGGTAAACCGGGAAATGCTTTACTCAGTGCAGTCATTATCGTAGGACCTTGATGTTGTGCTGTTAATGACTAAAGCATGTTTTTCATGTAAACAGACCTTTTAATGACTGGTAGTAAAAAGCTCACATAACATGTTGATGTTTTAGGATCTTGTTGGACAGAGCGCACACAGATGTAGACAACATCTGCCAGAGCCTGGACTCTGACCCAGAGCCCGAACCACTCGCCTCACCACTTCCAAGCTCTCCGCTCCACATCTCCAACGCCAGTACCTCAGAAACCAATACCTCGGACCCAGCCAGCTCCTTCC